TCTCTCTCTCTCTCTCTCTCTCTCTCTCTCTCTCTCTCTCTCTCTCTCTCTCTGATGGAGTTGTTGTGTTTTAAATCCATTGTGGAAAAAGATTAGGTATAAAAAATAAAAAATGGAGTTCTTCAGATAGCTGCCTCACCACCCAAATGCCCTTCTCTCTTTGTTGCCAGGGAATACAAAGCTTTTTTCACCCAGGAGGGAATCCCTATACCACAAAGCAGATGAGGGCAGGCTCTCAAGTCACTGAGGCTTATAGGAGGTCACAGTAGGCTATAGTTCCAGATAGAGGTGGAGACAAAGGTAGCACTTAATGCATATGAGCCATTAGTATTATCAGCGTTATTTATTTTACTCAGAGCTGAGTGAATGCTGAGAGGAGAAACCAAGGTTGAATTGACAGACCTCAGCTTTCTAGGCATGTCTGTAGATCTCTGTTAAATAGGCAAATGGAGAAAACTGCTTCCACACTATTAGAGTTAAGCTTCACTTTCCACCCACCCACCCACCCACCCAAATAATAAGTAGGAAACACCACCATATAATCCTCCCTAAGAATCTTTGTTTCTTAGACAGCAGTTTAATTCTGGCTGTCAGAGTATGCTGTCAGCTGAGACGCTTCAGAAAAAACAAACAAAATGAGTTAAAAACAAAGATAAACAAAATAGAAGCAGAGAAGCCCATGTCATTACAACTTTGAACACGTACGCTTTTTGGACAGTGTCTGCCTCAGGCGTCGGGATGTGCTCAGCCAGGGAAGCACTGAGAGGGCTCAGGGTCACACTCATTGGCTCTGAGTCTGTGAAAACAGAGAACATCTTTAATCAGCAGAGGACAGCAGTCAGTGATCCCAGATGTGGGAAAATGTCCAGCTGGTGAGTAGTCAACAGCATGCAAATTAGAAGAGTGAGGTATGTTATACCTAGGAAATAAGCAATACTGCAGAAACCAGTGCTGGCACATGGCAAGTGACATTAACATTAAGACCCTTTGGGAAAGTGATATGACAGTATATATCAAGAACCAGAAAAATGGTCTGGTCTTTCATCAGGAATCTCACTCCTGGGTATTTCTCATAAGGAAATAATTCCAAAGAAGAAATAGTTTCTTGTACCAACTTATTTATTAAAACATTATTATTAATAATGAAAAATTAAAAACAGCCCAATAATGAGAGATTAGGGAAGTAACTTATGATGTATTAATTTGACATTTAAAATTATGGTTAAAGATAAATAAGCAATATGGAAAATATATAATGACAAGTAAAAATGTAAACTATGGAATATGTTAGAACTCTATAAAATATGTATATAGATAAATAAGGGCTGGAGGAGAAAACAGAAAAATGAAATAATGTGTTAGATTGGGAGGTTTATGTGTGTTTACATTTTTTCTTAAAACCCCAGGATGGTTATAACACTGAAAATAAAATTGATTTAAGAAAACAAACATTATCCTATGTGGAAGGCTTATGCAGATGGCACGGTTGGCACTCTGCTGGGGACTCTAAAGACCATACTGGGTAACCCTTTTAGGAGAAGAGTCTCCGGACTAAGACTTCATATGGGACTAGGCTACATTTTATTTTAGTTACTTTAAACACTTTTTAAATTATGGAAGATATATTTCATTGCAGAAAATTTGGAAAACACACAAAAAGCATAAAGACCCCCCACACACACACACATAACATGTAATTACTAGAATGACTAAAATTAAAAAGACTATACAAGAATTGACAAGGACGTGGAAGAACTGGAACTCTCATACACTTCTGGTTGAAATGTGAAATGGTACAACCACTTAGGAAAATAATTTGACAGTTTCTTAAAAAAATTAAATACTATATATACCAGATCATCCAACCAGTATACTCCTAGGTAGTTTACCCAAGAGAAATGAAAGCATGTGTCTATACAAAGACTTGTACACACATGTGCGTAGCAGCTTTATTTGTAGTAGTCAAAAACTTGAAACAGCCCACATGTTCATCAACAGGTGACTGGATGAACAAACTGGTATGTACATACAACGCAATACTGCTCAGCAGAACAAAGTATCGATACACTCAACAACATGAATAAATCTCAAAAAATTATATGGTGAAAGAAATCAGACAAAAAAAGAGTATCTGGGCCGCCCGAGTGGCTCAGTTGTTTAAGAGCTTGCCCAAGAGTACGAGCTCTGAGCAACAGGGTTGCCGGTTCGATTCCAGCTGCACCCTGAGCTGAGCTGCTGCTGAGCTGCCAACAGGTGGCAGGATGGCTCAGCTGGTGAGAGCACATGCTCCTAACAACAAGGCTGCCAGTTTAAATGGTGGGCTATGCGCACCCGCAACTAAAGACTGAACTCAGCACCTTGAGCTAAGCTGCCGCCCAGGTGGCTCAGTGGATAGAGTGCGCATTGGTAACAAGGAGGCTGCTAATTCGACTCCCACATGGGATGGTGGCTATGCCCACCCACAACAAATTGAACACAGCCCCTTGAGCTGAGCAGCCCAACTGGACTGGGAGCTGAGTTTGCTGCATGCACCCTCCACAACTAAGATTGAAGGATAACAACTTGGCTGTTCCCCTTCCTCAATTCCCCAACACTGTTCCCCTCCCTCAATTCCCCAATAAAAAATGTATATAAAAAAGGAGTATATATGATTAAATTTACATAAAAATCTAGAAAAAGCAAACTAATCTATAATGACAGAAAGTGGATCAATGATTATCAGGAGGTGGGGGTGGGGAGGACATGAGGAAACATTTAGTAGTGATGAATACTGTATCTTGATTGTGGTGATGGTTTCATGGGTGTATACATATATCAAAACTTAACAAGTAAATCTTGAAAGGTCTCACATGAAAAAAACAATTTGTTAACTATGTGAAGTGATGTATGTTAACTAAACTTATTGTGATAATCACTTTTCATTCATACATATATCAAATCTTTATGTTGTACACCTTAAACTAATACAATGTTATATGTCAATTATATCTTAATAAAACTGGAAAAAACCCAAAATCATAGCAATACTTGATGATTCAATAAAAGAAAATGATGGTTGAATAATTTTATATCCTACCAATAATTATACGAAATTAAAACCTAAGAAAAAGTGAAGTTAATTAACATCCTTGAGAAAAACTAAATTGTAATATTTAACAAAGTATCTAATTGTACATTTTAAATAGGTGCCATTTATGTATGTCAACCATTTTTTAATAAAGCTGCTAAAAACCTAACAAAATATATATTAATACAAATAAAGTACCTAAAACAGTGCTGGCACTTGGTAAACACATACAACAAGAACCAAAAAAAAACCTCACCTATAATCATCTACTCTCATACAACTACTGCAAATATTTATTTTCATGCATATATAAGAATTATACACTTTTAATAGAATTGATAAAATACTGTATATATAATTTTAATGTACTTTTGTTATTAGAATTTCCTGTATCATTCAATGTTCTTAAAAATGATTTTAATAGCAGCATAGCATTTCATCATATGAATGAATGTTTCATAATTGACTAAAACCAAACATGAAACTTTTGAAATTTAGATTGTTTCAAATTTTTTATAACTATAAAGAACTTTGCATAGCATATCCTTGAAAGGAATGTTTTTGATTGTTAAAAGGCTTACTTTTTGTCCACATATATGATTATTAAAGGATGTACAGCCTTTAAGGCACAATGTCTACTGCCAAATTGTTCCATAGAAAATTTGTACTAATTTACAGTCCAAGGAATGGTCACTCATTCCTTCATGTATCACATGTTTATTAAATATTTACTAAATGCCATCACTGTGCTGGGAATATAGTGATGTGTAGGATGGACACACACCTTAGGGAGCTTACTAAATTCTAGTGGGGAAATGGATGTTAACACCAAACAAAACAAAATGAAAACTAAAAAAAACTTCTTGCAAGGAAGACACTAATATTTAATCCCTGTTTTTCTCTCATTCTCTTTGAGCAGTAGATTCTTGGCTAAATTAATTTATTTCTCTTCAATTATATTTGAAAGTATTATAATTTCAAAGAAAGATTTGAAAAGAAAAAGTTCATTTGTCATCTCGCCAGGATTATTTCCTTAATAATACAGTTAATCTATTTTTTAGTGTTCAGTTGTTGCCCCCGTGCCCACCCCTCGCCCGCCCCCATCCCCACCTCAGAACCTCTTTGCAACTTGCGCTCCCTTCTGCCATTCCCAAACGTTATGGGTGGCATTACTGTCTCACACATCAACCTTGGAGTGGGGAAAAAACTGTTAATGCTCAAGGTAGCTGAGGAAACTGGGAAGGTTGATTGGGGTGGTATCTTGGAATTTATTTTGTCTTGAATAATGTAATGTTAACAGAGTGGGAGCTGATTAAAGTATTTTCATGATAAGGGGAATTCTGTGAGGGTTTCGTTCTTTAATATGGCTGGCTCAGAAAAAGCTCTTACTGGACATTCACTCCTCTTCACAGCTATTTTGAACTTCGGGATAAGGCATGACAGGACCAGCAGAGGGCGCATTTGTATTGACCAAAAGCTGAGTTTCTACATTGATGTAATTTCACCATTTTGGGATAGGGACCATAGAAGGGTGATTTTGTTTTCCTCTAGTAAAATAACCTGATTTAGGTTATTTAGGAATAATATATTTAGGAAGTATTGAAATAAACTGAAGCAGTACTGCAAAACGTTAACTTACAACTTTTAACTGCTTTAAAAAAAATCTGTAAAATATTTTAAGAATGCAGAGTATAAAGAAAATACTTCATAATGATTACCCATGTACTTAGCACATAGCTATGCGAAATCTTATCATTTTCCCATATTTGATTCATATTTTTCTAAAGAAAAAAACATATCAGAAGTAGTCCAAGACTTCACCATATCACATATGATTTCATTTCCCCTCACTCTTTTCCCAGAGGTAACTTGGTATTTATCAGTTGACAGGGTTCAGAACATGGTATCCTAAAATATGGCTCCTTGGCATATTGAATATTTTAAGCTGAAGAAATTTGAGAAACTGCATGTGCAGGAAGGACCCTCTGACCTTCCCCTTCTCCCCCAAAGCAGGTCATTAGACACTCATGTGAGAGGTGCCCTCCCCGTACCTGGATGAAACATGCATCCTTATCTCTGAAGACAGAGGAACTTTGAGAGGGATCCTAACAGGCCTTGCTAGGTCTCCTTCAGTTTATTACTCTTAATTCATATTCTTTTGTCCTATCCCATTTTCCCATGACTTTCCAGTCTTTATCAAACCTAGTGTAAAAATGCTCAGGCTTAACCTTTTCTTCAGGCGTTTATTTTCTTATAAAGGCTCCCATGTCATGTAAAACTTACAT